GCTTCCTGACCTGTCTAGCTTCTCTCATGGCTCTAAACTCAGTTTGCTCTCATGGACTCTGCTACTGCCTGCTTTCCTGTGTATGACCCTGGCTTGATCTTGACCTTGGTCCTACTCTTGTTCCTGACTGACCTACTGTGTACGGTCCTGACCCTGGCTTCGGACTATGCTTCCTGCTCAGCCCTGCTATTAAGGTCCATCTGCACATCTAAAGTGTCATCTGGCCTCACGGCATCCCTGCCCTGTCCTGTCTTCATCAGGTGTCTCATCATCTTGGATCGTCAGGCAACTACACAGTTATCAGCCCATGCTTCTTTGGGGGCAGCACTTCCTGTCACCACCTTCAGTGAGCTGCTCTGCCCCCCTTATACTTACCTGAACCTGATCTTGATCCATTGATGTGTACAATAGCAGAGGTTCTCTCATCTCTCTCACTCCTCACTGGACAGAGAGGCAGCAGTGGGAGCCGTTGGCTCCTGCTGCTGTCATTCAGAGCCAGTAAGGAGAGAGTGGGGCGAGCCAATGTGTGGACATTGAATAATGGACCCACAGAGCCAGCTTGGGAACAAAACCACACAAATGCCCCCATAGAAAGTGGTTTGCTATGGGGGCACTCAGGAGGGAGGAGCAGACAACAGCGGTGGGCGTCCCAAGAAGAGGAGGATCGGGGTTGCTTTGTGAAAAACCATTGCACAGAACAGGTAAGCATAACATGTTTACCATTTAAAAAAAAATAAAATGCAAAGATTTACAATCACTTTACCAGCTACGTCTTCCTGCCCTATGCCCCTGCTTCCAAGAAATCATCCTCTACAGAAAGTCCTTCCTCCTGTTCTTATACTGAGGGAGAACTCTGAACTCACCCCTCACATGTTGGTCTTGCTCCTCTGCTTCTTGTTCTTCATCTCATTAAACCACTTTACTCCTCAGTCCCTGGGTGGGGCTACCAGAAAAGAAGCCCAACAGACTGCTACAAGGGGAAAACTAGGGCAGTGACATCAAGTGGTGCCTGCCGAAACTTCCAGATGTAACTATAGAATCCTGACGCCCTGTTACAAACTTCTCTTTACCGGTTCCTGAGGTAGCATTGTATTTTAAAATTACATTATTCATTGTTTTTACTTAGCTTAAATTTTTTTCCAGTTCAAATCAGATATATACATTAGGGTAGCATCAAAACAAAAGGTGCACAAGTCTTACAGATTTTGTTTTCTTTAGAAAGCAGCAAAAGCTGAGTGGAAGAGTCTGTCCTTGCCAGAATGCTGTAGAGAAGGGTCTCTGCATGGATCCAACATGCTCCATGCTAGAGATTTCCAATCAGTAGGAAGCATGAGCTTTGCAGATTGCAGAGCCATATTCATGTGAATTTTTTGAATTTATATATTTTTAAAGTTCTGATTGTTTTTTTTGAATATGTATTGTATGTGGCCACGTGTTTATTGAGCAGCTACAGGTAAGTGGATCCGCAGAGATAGCCATGCCTCCTGCAATGTTTTTTCATCCCTCTGTAGTTCAAGCAGCCTGAATAACAGTTGACAAAGCAGCCCTGAATTCAGGAGCAGTGTAGCAGTGTTGTCATCATATCATGGGAAGCTTCACAAGGTGGAGTTCACTGGTGTTTGTGAGACTTTGAATAGGGACTAATGAAAAATATCATGCAGATACACTTGGAGGCCTATGAATAAATAATTCCGAATATACCAAAGATGCCCACAACCCAGTAGATAGGTCTACTTTATTACAGACAATGATGAACTCAATGGCTATAGTTGGCTTTAAAATTATTCTAAAGGCATTAAAAAAAAAGAAACTAAATAAACCTGTTATACTTACCTGCTCTTTGCAATAGTTTTGCACACAGCAGCCCTGATTCTCCTCTTCTTGGGTCTCCTGCCAGCACTCCTGGCTCCTCCCCTCTGCAAAGTACCCACATAGTAATCTGCTTGCTCACTCCAGAGCTGGCTTTGTGTGTCCACAGACACAAAAAGCACAGCTTAGCTCTACCCCCCCCCTCCTCCCCGCTCCCTCCTCACCGGCTGTGATTGACAACAGAGGGAGCTAATGGCTCCCATTGTTGTGTCTGAGCCAATGAGGTTGGAGAGAGCCGATAAAGCCGCCGCTCTTGTGCACATCGCTGGATTGAGATCGGGCTCAGGTAAGTATAAATTTGGGGGCTATTAGGGAGCAACATACAGTTTTTTCCTTAATGCAGAGAATACATTGATAAAAAGGATCTTTTGCTTTTAGAACCACTTTAAAGTATACCTTTTTTTATTTTGGATAGAGTGGAGAGGGATTAGCACATGTGTCAGGTTTTTATTGTTGTAAAAAAGGTATAGCGAGCGCTACAGACAAAAATGCATAAGCAGCTAGAACACCAGAAAAGGTAACCAACCCACCTTACAATGATCAATAGAAAGAGAAAAATAGGTGCAGCGCTAGAATCAAAATACAAATAATTCTCTATAAGGTGAATGTCAGTGGTCAAAAAGATGTGACACAATGTTAAACAGTGCGTTAGTCAATAAGAACACATAAAGTCCTCATCCCAGATAAATGGTTGTAGAGAGGTGAAAAAATCCTAGGAGCAGATAGAGTGCGCACTCACCAGAGGTGCGTTAAAATAACGCATGTAGAGAAATATAATCTGCAAGATCTCTCCAGCATCAGAGCTCTGGTCAGATCGCACTGCGTACTATCCTCTGTCTCACCGCGAAGAACAGTAGCCAGGATTCATCAAACCGTATGGGCGTCAAAGTACTCCTTAGTCCAGATAGGCACTGTGGGAGATGGTGCTCTCAAAGAGAGCCCAATAAAGGACGCCACATAGTGTGATGCTGTTTGACTCAGGTTTAATGGTCAAAAAGGTGAAACAACAAAAGTTACTGACCATAGAATGTTGGCCACATATAGTGGCTAGATGTCCATAAGCTGTAGCCCCCTGACGCCACGTTTCGTGCGATGCACGTGACCTCAGAGTGGTCAGGGCTGACGCGTTTCGTGCCCTCTCAGAGGACTGAGGACGTGCATCGCACGAAACGCGTCAGGGGGGCTACAGCTTATGGACATCTAGCCACTATATGTGGCCAACATTCTATGGTCAGTAACTTTTGTTGTTTCACCTTTTTGACCATTAAACCTGAGTCAAACAGCATCACACTATGTGGCGTCCTTTATTGGGCTCTCTTTGAGAGCACCATCTCCCACAGTGCCTATCTGGACTAAGGAGTACTTTGACGCCCATACGGTTTGATGAATCCTGGCTACTGTTCTTCGCGGTGAGACAGAGGATAGTACGCAGTGCGATCTGACCAGAGCTCTGATGCTGGAGAGATCTTGCAGATTATATTTCTCTACATGCGTTATTTTAACGCACCTCTAGTGAGTGCGCACTCTATCTGCTCCTAGGATTTTTTCACCTCTCTACAACCATTTATCTGGGATGAGGACTTTATGTGTTCTTATTGACTAACGCACTGTTTAACATTGTGTCACATCTTTTTGACCACTGACATTCACCTTATAGAGAATTATTTGTATTTTGATTCTAGCGCTGCACCAGGTTTTTATTGTTGTCTGTGGCCTCATTAGCGAGAGTCACTATTTCTATTTGTCCTGAAAATGAAAATGAAAGAAAATGCCAATTTCTGATCACTCTGGTAATAGTAAGAGAGGGGAAATCTTCCAACGGGACACTAGCTCTGGTTACAGTCAGGGATTCCCTCACTTTGGAAAGATTTCTTTTCACTTCCTGTTTTGTAAATAGGACAGGTAGTGGAGGGAAATCTCCGCTATGAAACACAGCTGGCAATCAAACCTGATAGGGTTTATCACCCTCCCTTACTCTATCCAATTTTTTTTTAAATGCCTTTAGTTCTACTTTAATTCATTAATGTGGTTTTACACATTTATGTGCTCTTTTCTTTATGACAAATTCCTTGCACCTTTACCTTGTGCTTGGATCCATAATACACTTAGCATTACACTATCAACTAAATCATATTCTAACAGACTTGAAGGTAACTCCATCCTCTCATTAGCCAATTGCTAAATATGGAGCTGGGGTTTTTTTTTTTGGAGAAATGCACAGCATGATGCTCATATGGTTTCGTAGCAACTACTCCGAAACCATTGCTGAATTAATCCACCTGTATTCTGAAATCTGATTGCTTGCCATAGACAACTGGCCCTTGTATTTCCACAGTTCCTTGCTGTGTGAGCCTGTTAATATTTTCATGCTGTTTATAAGCTACGTTTACCTTTTGTTACAAAAAATAATAAATGCACATGATATTGCATGTAAAAAAATGTGCATTTATTATTTTTTTTTTACCATTAAGCCTACAAAGCATTGCACCCATGATCAAGGCTCCTGCAAACACTGCTGACACCTGTCTGCCCACACCTCCATATGGGCACAGTTACTCAGATGCAAGAAGTGTCAGAGAACTAAGAGGGATCTCATGATGTAAATGGATAATGTGGTAATGTGGCCATGAGGGAGCAGAGCTCAGTGGGTTCAAAGAGAGGATTCCCCGCCTGCTGTCATAGTGGGGGGGGGGGGGCAGGTTGTGAGGCTGCTGCATTAATAACATGTTAAATGTGTGGAACTAGCATCAAGGGTAGAGCTTTAACGACACACCACCACTCGCTTTCTTCTTTTTAAGGGCTGTTTTTGCCCAATTTTATTTAAAAGAAAGTTCCATATAACATGTTTCCCACGCAGGGGTATCCACCATCAATACAAACAACAATATTCAGCCTCCTAGCTCTCTCTCTTCATGCCTCGGTCCTCTTGACCCTTCCCATACAACCCACTGCACCTGGGTTAGCGCCCTTTCTCAGCACTCCTGCTTCTCCAGTCCACAGGCTTGGGCCCTGTCTGCTCTCAGACTTCTCTGTACCACCTTGCACACTTGTGGCTGCTCCCTTGCACCCACATGGACTCCTTGGGAGGGTGCAACCCAGAACCCTGGTCCTGACTCTAGATGAGAGCCACACATACCTGACCAATCAGTCTCCTGGCCATTCCCAAAACCTGGTCCGAGGATTGGAGATTTCATCCCTCCCAAATCACTTTGAAATCTCCAGGATCCAGGTCCCAAAATGGACTTTACAAACAAATGAGAAAAGTGAAAAACCAGTTTCCTCTGTATTAAACACTTTCCCTGGAGCCCCTCAACCTGCATTGTTGAGAATCCCAGGTGAAATATCCTTTTTATATCATGAGAGATCGCCACACTGTCACACATGGTACACCCTGAATACGGGTGTAATATGTACCATGTCGCTAAAGGTGAACTTTTCCTTTAAAGATAGTAGTATACTATTGACTTCAGGGGGCTATTACTTATACAAGAAAATACATTAACTAGCATGACACACATACATCACTCTTAAACTATGCAAACGGGATAATATAATAAACGAAAATTAGACTGCAGTTAAATTAATTAGGTGGACTCCCTTACAGAGAAGCCATGATAAAACATAGGCTGAATGTCATGATGATAGCCAAGGTAGAGATATGAAAACAAATTAATGCATTATTTAATAAGCTTTTTTATTCAAAATGATCATACTAAATCATTATAATTAGACAAAGCCATGCTGGAAATTCGCTGTGCTTTTCATTTTCTAAAGTGTCAAACAGTTTAATTCTTTTTCATGATAACTGTGTCATGAAAAACTGTAAATATATTTAGGTTTTCAGCAGAGGAGTGGTATGTAATTAAATAATGTAAATTATAACGACCGTGATAGATCTGCTGGCGCATGAAAGCCAGTCCGAGTAATGTAAATATCTGTGAAGATTATTTGGTAGCTTTGAATATTTACCGAGTAAGAAGCAACATTGGCTTTCCATTATAAACTCAAATGCATCCAATGACCCTTCCATAGTTCATACTTCCATGAATCATAAAGTTCCTTACTTCTTAAAACACTCCTCTGTTGAAGGGAAAACATAGCGTTTTGTGTAAACCTTCATTATTTATGTATTGTGTTTAGGGCTAAAAAATATTTAATGCATATCCAAACCCATAACCAAAAATATAATATATTCCATATTACCAGTCAATATAAAGGATAAGTTGATCTTTCGTAAAATGTTACATGTTGCACCCATATTGAGGGTGTAACATGTTAGGAAACGCCCCACCCAAAAAAAAATCTCCTGTTGTGACAGCTAGTGGCCACATGGGGCTCCACCCACCCGGCCCTGTCACTCATTCACAGTATTCTGTGAATGGGAAAACTACAAGTTCCAACAGCATGGTGCTGTTGTTAAGCATTGTGGTATTTCATTGATTCTTCCTGTCAGAGTGTATCTGCTCTCCCGTACAAAGTGCAAGGACACAAATACACTGACATGTCTGCAGGAGTGCTGCAGGAGTCCTGCATGGTGCCAGCAATCCTGCAAATAATACCTGCAAAAAAATATACATTTAGTAGTTTTTCTTAAAATATGAACTTATCCTTTAAAAGACTAAAAGGGACCAAATAAGGCTACTTTCAGACAGGGCAGACTACATCGGGATCAAGAGGAAATCCACTAACAGATCCCCTGCTGATCATAGCAGAGTGGGCAGATGACACATCCATGGGTCAACTCAGTTTCTACAAAGCAGATATAGACAGAGCCAGCTCTGGTCTATGGGTGTAAACTGACTCCACTGTCTGTTTACACCCAACTATCCACTTCCCTGCAGTCCACTGGGGAAGGAGAGCCTGCAAAGCTTGCAGAAGAACCAGCCCAGCTAGAGGGCTTGAAATCAGCTCTATCCACAGATGCAGGACAAGGAGAGTGTGAGTACCTCTACACCTCCAGGGCCTAGAAGAGATAAGTCTGCTGGATGCAATTTCTGTCAAGTCTTCAGGGGACAGTTCATAACTTGCCCAATCCCTTGTGCTGGGATTTGATACTGTAGCCAGGTGGGCTGGTATTCTGTGCACCAAGGGGACCAAGAGCTTTTACACATTGTCACATTACTAGAAATTCCACTGAGGGGAAACCAAGCTCTTAAAAAGGAATTACTCTACTAAGGACTGTGATAGTTCCAGCTGGAATGCAGTCAAGTATCTGTCGTTTTTTTTTTACTAAGTGTGCTAGAGCAGGAAAAGTTCTCATTGTACTATTTCTTCGATCAAACTGGGCATCCCATATCCCCTTTTACCCTATCCAAGTTTATCCCCTTAATAAAAAACAAAAAAAAAAAAAGCCAATTGACTGTTTCTTGTGTCTAGAAAATGCATGTGGCCTGGCTGTGCAGAACTTAAGGGGTACCCAAAACTCAGCAGCAGCTCCTGTTGGGGTAGTGCTACACGAGATGAGCTAACAAAGTGTTCAATCTTTCTAATCAACATCTTGACCTCCAGAAGGTTTTATCCCTTCATGACCAGGGCATTTGTTGCTATTCAGCAGTGTGCTACTTTAACTGGCAATTGCGCAATCGTGCAACACGGTATGCAAATGAGATTTATATAATTTTAATAGAACTTTTATTTGGTGGTATTTGATCATGACTTGGTCTTTTATTTTTTATTTGGAAAAAAATAATATTTTCTACTACTTTACATACAGTAACATCCAATAAACATTTTTAAAAAATACAATTTCCTCATAAATTTAGGCCAGAATGTATTCTGCTATATGTCTTTGGTAAAAAACCATTCCAATAAATGTATATTAATTGGTTTGTGCAAACGTTATAGTGTCTAAAAACTATGGTATATACTGTACAGTATACTTTAATTTATGCAGCTAGGATGCTATACTGGTAATGGTAGTGATCAGCGACCTGTAGTGGGACTGTGATAGTGTGGCGGGCAATCTGGTGCTAACAGACCCCCACTGGGAGGTGCACTAACTGACTGACATCAATAATGACAGCAATACAGTGAATAGATATAAAACTGTACATTGTCACTGTACTAATGACACAGGCTGGGAAGGGGTTAACATCTAGGGGCAATCAAAGGGTTAACTGTGTGCCTAACAATGCGTGTAGAATGTGCTGCTTTTACTAACAGATAAGGCTATTTTTCCCTGCTTTGCAGGAAAAAGAAACAGCCAGATTGAAGCTCTGTGTACAGAGTCCTGTGTTTGTAAACAGTTACCAAATTAACAGCAGGGACTTGCTGACAAAATTGTGCTGTGTCCAACCATAGCACAGGGCAGCAGGGGGTGTGCGCACGTCTCCCCAGATCAAGAAGTTAGCTTGCAAGGCTTATTTGCATTGCTGCAGGTGATGCTCGGTCACAGTAAATATACTGTGGTTAAAGACATTAGCAACACTCTCCACCTTTTGAAACTTAGATATAATTGTTAAAAATTTTTAAGATTTAAATAATTTTGCAATTAGACATATTAGAAACATTTAGTTTGGGCCAGAGTTCTTCTTTAAATGTCAGTTTACACAGTATTATTTTTGCAAACATGTATTTATTTGTATCAAGTTTTACATTATTTACACTGTGCATGGTTTCTTAACAGAGGACGGGTAATCTCATTCAATTCCAGTCTGCTTTGTTAGCGATAAGAAGGTCAATGTCCATTGTAGCAGGTTAATAGAAAGTGAAAAAGCTAAGCAGAATATATAATTATTTCACGCTAAAATGTGTTATCACTTTTCCTGGCCTTGACTTTACCTGGCAGAGATTCAAAAAAGCTCTAAAAAAGTCAAAATTCTTCCGTCGATAAACAGCAAAATATATACTTAAATGCAACTTTCGATGGGTATTTTTTAATTTCTTATACATACCATGCTATTCTGGACTATTAAATGACTTTGTGTATGTTCATCTGTTAATGTTAACTGGAGTCAACTATAGATTAAATTATCGCTACCTTTTGGCAAGGGGGCTTCAGAGTTTAGAAGCCACTCAATAGTTTGGAATAACTAAGTTTTATATCTTAAAAGCCTGGAATAACAAGAGATCCTTAATCTATGCAGTGATCAAGGGATCTATCTGCTTGAAAGCTTGCAATGATAATTAAGAACCTGGGTTGTTGAAAATAAGTATTTTGGTAGGCTCCAGCAAACCATGGGTGTCATTTAACTCAGAAGACTGGGGACCTTTTGTGATGGAACAGAATTACTGTAGGGACAGTTAGGGGGAAAAGATAAGTTTTGCCATGAGAGCTGTTTTATTAGTTTTTTTAAAAAAATGCTAGGAGACTAGATATGTGAGGTTCATTTCATTCCAAATTGAAATTCGGTCAAAATTTTCGTTATTCATGGATTCGCATGTATCCAAATTACAATAGTTAACTAATACTGATTTCCTTTAAAGGCAATGTGTATTAGAATAGAGCCATCTTCTGAAATTCAAATTTCGAAAAGAATAGAATAGAATAAAACAAAATAGAATATAAAATAATAGAATAGGATATAAAATAAAGAAATAGAATAAAAAAGAATAGAACATTAAAAAAAGAAAACAGACTAGAATAGTAAAAAATAGAATAGAATAAACATAGCTGTCATCCAAAATTAAAATTTTGAAATTTGAATTTCAAATAGAATATAATAGAAAGAATAGAGCCGTCTTCCGAAATTAACATTTTGAAAAGAATAGAATAAATCAAAATAGAATAGAAAATAATGGAATAGAAAAGAATAAAATAGAATAGAAAAGAATAGGAAAGAAAAAAATAGAATAGAATAGAATGAATATAGCTGTCTTCTGAAATTCGAATTGCAAATAGAATAGAATAAAATAGAAATAATATAGCTGTCTTTCGAATTCGGTCAAAAATAAATAGAAATAAATGAAACTAAATGAAACGAATTTCATTACGAATGCAATGAAATAAATTAGTAATTTAACAAATCGATACCAAACAAAATGAAAAATGAATTTTCATTCTGCACATGTCCATAGGGGACTATTTATTGAAAAGAGAAAGTCCTGGGATTGGGCTTTAAGCTGAGCCTTTACTCACCTTACCTTTGGAAACTGTTGCTCTAAGTCCCTTTTGGTCCTATCACATGATCAAATGACAAATAATGAGTATATGTGATTTTGCCGAAGTAGGAAACTGCCAGTCTAGAAAAGCAGTGCAATCAGCAGCTCAGCATGAACTTAGATCCTCCCACTCAGCAGATACCATATGATCAGTGTTTCAGAATTCTATAAGTTGAGTGGACCAAGTATGGCACCTGGGCATTATAATTTGATTGTAGGTCCATCATAAAGCTCTTTATTTTAGATAAGGAAAAAGAACAGAAAGTGAGCAGGCAAAACTGCAAATAAATTGCATGAGCTGATGTTTCTGATTGCAGGGATTGTCAAGTGATTTGAAGCTGAATTTTAAATTCTGATTAGCAACATGTTTAAAACATTGTCTGATGAATTTCACAAAATCATGCATATTTCATCGTTTACAGCTCTATGCTTCCTTGGTGCAGCTATTTCAGAGGGACTTGCAAATCAGACACATTTCTTTAATTCACATCTAAAAATTGAGACCAAGAACATTATATAACAAGATATCACTTCACTCCACAAGTTCCACACCTCTTGATTCTACTTATTTTTTAAGTGTAGAAAATGGTGATTGCTTATGTTAGTTTTCACTGTATCATTACATTACCTAAGCCTGAAATCTCATTGCCGTAGAGCTGGATACAAACCCCTTCAGGTCTCCTGCCATCCCATGAGTTCTATACCACTGCAAACCACCCTGATTTCTGTTTGGGATTGGGGGGGGGGCAGGAGGGACAGAAACCCTGGGTGCAATGCCACAAGGCAGTGTACATTCAATGGAACTGAGATCCCACCCTCACCCCTTCCATCCTTTACTGACTTACCTGTACCCTGGGGGCTGCCTTGCCTCATAGGAAAAGCCCAGGCAGAGGAGCAATGATATCTCCGGTGCTGAGGTCCATTGTCTGCACCAGTGGCATACCTAGAGGCGGTGCTGTAGTGCTAGTAAGAGAACAATAAGGAGAACCTATATTGGGAAGGGTTATTGGGGAATTTTGGCCAAAATCAAGGAACATCCTATTATGCATTGCATAGCCTTTTCCTTGGTCAGCTAAGTCACATAATTTGAGGGAATCATAGCAGCCATGTAAGTGTGTGTTAAAGTTGTTAGCAAATCTGTAGTAGGGACTATTGTGTGTTTTCTATCATTGGTATATGTTCCCTATGGCAGTGCCTGCCTTCCCATGCATTCATTTGACAACAACTAGTAACCCTACAAATGGGCTGAATTGAGTAACAAGATTGCCTCCCACTCTAAACCCCCCATCCTCACCACACACACTTCATTGAGGTTTGCTGCAAAGTTCTTGAACTTCATGCAAGATTCAGGAAACTGTTCGAGCAGTGTTTCCCAAGCAGGGTGCTGTGGCACCTTGAGGTGCAATTTGGATTCCCAAAGCAGCGAGCAAAAGACCCAGTTTTCCTTGGATGACAGATGGATGAGAGGGCTCTGTGATCCTGTGGGGAACCTGTGGTGATGGAGGACTGTAGGAGGTAAGGGGAAGACTAAAATGTGATGGGGGGACTCTGTCATGGGGATACTCTGATGTGATGGAGGGCTCTCATGTATAGGGGGGACCAAGGGCATAGATAAAGGGGGGTCATCAGGTTCAAGCCCCCCCAGAGCATCCATCAACAGCACAGCAACAAGTCTAGTGTAGCCCTTCAGCTGCTGTAGCCGCTTTGCCACAGACCAGCCTGTCTCCTCCGCACTACTGAGAGGCCCACCAGGAAAGCATGTGTTCCCGCCCTACCCACACAGCAAATAAACAGGCTGGGACAAGGGAGATCCCGGGTGATGTCAGGAGGGCGGGACTTTATGACAGAGCTACCCATTGGCTGAGAAGGCAGCAGTGGGTGGTATCATTGCCTCCTCATCCAATGGTTAAGCTATCCAAATCTTCATTCCTTGGGCTTCCTGTGTTTAGTGTCATGCGGGATGGAGCAGCTCTGATGTGGGGAGAAGTCAAGTCCTAAGCCTTTACACTATGGGGTTTATTTACTAAGTAGAGTGCAAAATCTGGTGCAGTTCTGCATAGAAGCCAATCAGCTTTCAGGTTTTATTGCCAAAGCTCAACTGAACAAGCTGAGGTTAGAAGCTGATTGGTTTCTATGTAGTGTGTTTTGAACGCAGCATGGGAAATTTAGAGAGATTGTGGGTTTCCTGTATCACATTCTAGTGAGAAAAATAAACAGTAATCACAGTGAAAGTAGAGGGAAAAAAACTGCTGATGCATTTCACAGTGAACCAGCACTTAACAATGCTGTTATGAATATGGATGTGTTATGAGTAAGCACTAGTTCAGCATGAAATGCATCACCAGTTTTTCCCCATACTTTCACTGTGATTGCTGTACCTGCACTGCATGGGTTAACTGCTTGTTTTTGTCTAGGGGTTTGGATAGCGGAGATATACTTACCTAACCCACCAATCCTCCGAGCACCAGACTGGTCCTTGCTGCTCCAGCCGCCCTGCAGGCCCATAGACCAGCTCTGGAAGTGAGGACGGCAGGAACAGACCTGCCTGGACGTGGAGCTGGACGTGGGGGAGCTCTGTTTTCTGGAGGATCGAAAGATTGGGTAAGTATAGCCTTTGTGTGCTCCCCTGGACAAAATGAGCAGAATTTTTTGTTTTCATGGAGTTCTGCTTTAAGGAATTTTTGTAAAATAAAAGTGGCTACAGGAGTGCAGCTGTCCAGAATTTCTAGGTTCCTATACTGCACTGTTAGGAGCTGAGCCAGCAAATAGTAACTGGGAGTGGCTGATTTCATGGGTGGATAACGTCACAATCTTCACCACAGCCAATCAGAGGAAGCTCTGTATTCATTGATAAAATACAAGACTTCCTGTGAATGGCTGGGCAGTGGTCAACCCAACTCAATTTTGTTGCAGGTTCTGACTCAAGTCTAAGCTGCCTTTGCTCACCATTGGAACCAGTGGAGTGGAGGGTACCCATTTGTAAAGGATAAGTTCACCATTACTCAAAAAAAAAAAAAATACACATTCTTTTTGCAGGTACAAAAAATGTGCATTTACTATTTTATGTTGCAGGAGCCTGTAAACCATTGCACCAGCGATCAGCAGATCGCTGGTGCCATGCAGGTCTCCTGCAGACCTGTCAGTATATCTGCTTGCCTGTACCGGATGTACGAGCAAGCAGATATACTGACAAGAAGACTCCACAGTGCCTTGGTAGTTCATTGAGAACTACAAGCCGACAGCTGCTAAAGCAGTTGGGACTTGTACTTTCTCATTCACAGAACATAGTGAATGAGTGATGTGGCCAGGTGGGGGGGAGCTCCGCACGGCCACCGTTTTTTTTTTTAATTTGACAGCTAGCGAGGGGGGAGAAGATCTCCCGCTAGTGGAGAAGCGGGGGGGAGTAGGAAGACCTTATCCTTCTTATGGTGTTATGGTTCATAAGGGGTCAAAGTGTTAGTGTGGTGAAAAGCGAGGGGGACACAGAGTTAATTTCACATATTATTGAAGAATGTGAAGTCCTCAGCACCAGTCACATTAATTGGCACAAAGGATATGTTATGCAAAGACTTTGTTATTGGGATTTTTCCATACCTTTATACATTTTTGTATTGATTGCACAGAGGATTAAACACTAGTCGCTTTATGCACAGCTTTTGTATTTATTGCACAGTACATTGGTTGATTGTTTACATGTATAATCAAAGTTATGGAGCACTTTAATGTTCATTGGCTCATATAATGATCCTTTAGAACTTGACTTGTAAATATTTATAGTAAGTGCCGCACCAATCTTTGAATTATTTTAACCACTAGCCTATAGGGCACTTATACCCCCTTCCTGCCCAGGCCAATTTCCAGCTTTCAGCACTGTCGCAATTTGAGTGACAATTGCAACACTGTACCCATATGAAATTTTTTATCATTTTTTGTGACAGATAGAGCTTTATTTTGGTGGTATTTAATCACCTCTGGGTTTTTTTTTTTTTTTCTTAAACAAACCAAAAACCACTGAAAATTTTGAAAAAAAAAGTTTTTTTCTTTGGTTTTGTTATAAAATTTTGTAAATAAGTGATTTTTTTCTCCTTCACTGATGTGCGCTAATGAGGCTGCAGTGATGGGCACTGATAGGCTGCATTGATGGACACTGATAGGTGGCACTGATGGGCACTGATGAGGAGGCACTGGTAGGTGGCACTGATGGGCATTAACAGGCATCACTGATGGGCACTGAACGGCAGCACTGATACACGGCACTGATAGACAGCACTGATAGGCAGCACTGATAGGCGGCACTGGCTGGCACTGATAGGTTGGCACTGACAGGCACTGATAGGTGGCACTAATGCGTACTGATAGGCAGCACTGATGTGCACTGATAGGTGGCACTGACTGGCACTGATAGGTGGCACTGATTGGCAGCACTGATAGGGTGGCACTGATTGTTACTAATGGGTGACACTGAAAGGCAGCTCAGATGGGCACTGATATGTGGCATTGATGTGCACTGGTAGGCACTGATATGTGGCATTGATGTGGCACTGATGGGCACTGGCACGAGGCACTGATGAGCACTGACACAAGGCACTGATGGACACTGACAGGTGGCACTGCTGGGGCTACACTGATCATCAGGGCACACTGATCATCAATGCCCTGATGATCAGTGTACATGTCCCCTCCGCGGAAAGCCGATTACCGGCGTGACAGCTCGAGAGGAGAGAAATGCCGATAACCGGCATTTCCCTGTTTACATGTGATCAGCTGTGATTGGAGACAGCGATCACATGACCGAGCCGACATCTTCGTCTCTTTCCGTTATCGGTGATCCGCTGTGTCCGAGGGACACAGCACATGGCCGATCGACGAGCTGCGCGCTCCCTGAGCCGCGCATGCGTGGTGAGAATGGGAGGACGTCATATGACGTCCTCCCAGAACGAGAGAACCACCTTGTGTCCGTCATAATACTACATGGCGGGCGGGAGGTGGTTAAGACTGATTGCAAGTGCAATTGCTCCAGAGCTTAGTAAATGAGGTAAAGCGTCACTTTACAAAGAATACCCAATCACATACAAGGAGAATAATCAGCATTTTTTCTTGCACATGATTGGATGATGAAAGTCAGCAGAGCTACCCCTCATTTTTACTAAGATCTGGAGCAAATGCAATTGCAAAGTACTTAGTCTATTTGCCTTTAGTAAATCAATCCTACTGAGTAGGGTAAAGTTTAAAGCTCCCTCCCCTGTTGACCTACAATGTGTTATAATGTGGCAGGCACGTTGTCTAATTATTTTTCTGTGGGTACACAAGACTGACCCCCCCCCAGAAAAAAAATTATCTATGGCCCTGGGGGGACTCTGATGTGATGTTGAGAATCTGATGGGGGCATTTGACTCTCTGATGGGGGGCTCTGAGGTGGTGGGGCCTCTGATGTGTACGGGGGGATTTTAATGTGATCCCCCATCTCTGGCATGAAAAAGGGCTCTGATGTGATGGAGGACCTCTGATGTGAATGGTGGGTTTTTGATGTGATGTTAATTTCATTAAGGTGGTTGTGCGTATCATCCTAGGATCAAGTTCCCCATTGATAGGTAACATTTACATTTTTTTAGATTATGTATTTGGTTGCCTTGAGATTTTTCATACTTTTAAAAGTGTGACCAGTGCACAGTAGCACATGCCATTACCATCTAATGAAATCTGTGTATTTTTTTCTACCTTAAAAACTGAGGTTGTGTTTGGATAAAAAAAATGTGTTGCACATCATCTCTCTGCTCTGCAACATAGATATTTGCATCATTGACTGTTATATAGATTATCTAGTATGAGTCATTTGAGATGATTGGAAAATATTTTGAGTATCTAGGAATATTACCGTAGAACAACTTTAATTAAACTTTAAATTAAAACAAAATCTATCTTGATCTCATCAAACTTCCTGAAAATGGCACAGTACAAGACATGGCATGTCAACACATAATCTTAAAATTCAAATAAAGAGAGATAATTATGGCAATAAGATGATATACAAAATCTGGAGCTACTTTGAAAAGTAGGAGAAAAGAGAATACATTATATGACAGTGTATATAAATAATAAAGATAAAAGCTATCTGCGTCTAAGTTTTATTATTCACTGGTCAGACCCTGTTGGACCTTTCACATTGTTATAAAGAACATTAGTTAGATCAACATTTCTGAGGTTTAAAGTGATTCTAAACACAAGAATACGTCATTTTAGGCAGTCTGTGGGGTATTTACTAGGGCACTGCATCCTAATTGCATGAGAAAACAGTTATTTTATACAAATTGGCCTTTTAGGGGTTACGGGGAAAATACATATTAAAAGTTCTCAAACTTTATTAAATAACATTAAAGAAAAGAAAAAAAGGGGGGGTCAAAGAGAAAAGATGTTGATGTGTTTCAGCCTCTAGAGGCCTTATGAGCATGAGAGCAAGGCACCGGTACAAGATCTTCCCTGTTGAGGAGTGCTCACTTGTTTGGTTTCACTTATCAGTGAGGTTTTTAAGCAAAGTTCTTGAGGGACAGGCCTGGCGTCTCCTGGCCTGTCACTCAAGACACATTAAGTGAGTAGGCCTCCCAGGCCAGGAGTCTGAGACACCTAGGCCTGCCCACTACAGCAATCTGTAGCAGAATTACAGCTCTCACTAGAAAATAGACAACAAAGGAAATATTAGAAGACTATGGCATAGCTACCTGACTCTTGCATGGATATCTGAGTATGAGGACAACTGTATAAAAAAAAGAATAAATGTATTTAAAGGATAAGCTCATCTTTAAAAAAAAATAATAAATGCTTAATTTTTTGCAGGTAAAAAGATGTGCATTTACTATTTTTTTTGTAGGAGCCTAGAAACATTGCATCTACTGACCGCTGGTGCCATGCATGACTCCTGCAGACTGCCAGTGCAAGCTGTCTGTCTGTGCATCGTACGGGCGGGCAATTTCACACTGACAGGAAGAATCAATCAACTGCCAGAGTGCTGAACAGCTCTGTGGTAGTTCATTGAACTACAAGCCGACATCCGGAAAGAATGTCGGTAGTTTTGGTCAGGGTTTTTTTTCAGCTGAAGGGGGGGGGGCGCAGTTCCAGCACCTCCAGCACTGATTATATATAATGGCAATGGATTCGAGGGGATGGCTAGGGGATCTGTTGTCACTGAAAGGGATCTATTTTTGTGTGGTGATCTATTGTTGCTGGGGAGGTCTGTTGCTGCTTGTGGGGGATCTATGGTAATGGGGGTCAATCATTGCTGGAAGGGGTGTACTGTTCAGGGAGATTACTGCCAACCCTAACTCTAACCCTAAAATTTAACCTTAACCCTAGCCCTTAACCCTAACTCTAGCCCTTAACCCTAATCCTATCCCTTAACCCTAATCCTATCCCTTAACCCTAACTCTAGCCCTTAACCCTAACCTTGCCCTTAACCCTAACCTAGCCCCTAACCCTAACCTAGCCCTTAACCCTAACCTAGCCCTTAACCCTAACTCTAGCCCTTAACCCTAACCTAGCCCTTAACCCTAACTCTAGCCCTTAACCCTAACCTAGCCCTTAACCCTAACCCTAGCCCTTAACACTAACTAGCCCTTAAACCTAACTCCATCCCTTAACCCTAACTCTAGCCCTTAAATCTAACCTTGCCCTTAACCCTAACCTAGCCCCTGACCCTAACCTAGCCCTTAACCCTAACCTAGCCCTTAACCCTAACTCTAGCCCTTAATCCTAACTCTAGCCCTTAACCCTAACCTAGCCCTTAACCCTAACCCTAGCCCTTAACCCTAACTCTAGCCCTTAAATCTAACTTAGCCCTAACCCTAACCTAACCCTTAGCCCTAACTCTAGCCCTTAACCCTAACCTTAACCCTAACCCTTAGCCCTAACACTAACTCTAGCCCTTAAATCTAACTCTAGCCCTTAACCCTAACCTAACCCTAGCCCTTAACCCTAACTCTAGTCCTTAACCCCCCTAACTCTAGTCTACCCCCTTAGCCCTTAACCCTACCTCTAGCCCTTAACTCTAACTCTGGCACTTAACCCTAACTCTAGCCCTTAACCCTAGCCCTTAACCCTAACTCTAGCCCTTAACTCTAACCCTTAACCCTAACTCTAACCCTTAACCCTAATTCTAGCCCTTAACCCTAATTCTAGCCCTTAACCCTAACTCTAGCCCTTAACCCTAACCCTTAACCCTAACCTAGCCCTTATCCCTAACCCTAGCCCTTAACCCTAACTCTAGCCCTTAACCCTAGCCCTAGCCCTTAACCCTAGCCTTAACCTTAACTCTAGCCCCTAACCCTAACCTAGCCCTTAAACCTAACTCTAGTCCTTAACCCTAACTCTAGCCCTTAGCCCTAACTCTAGCCCTTAGCCTAACTATAGCCCTTAGCTCTAGCCCTTAACCCTAACTCTAGCCCTTAACCCTAGCCCTTAACCCTAACTCTAGTCCTTAACCCTAACTCTGGCTCTTAACCCTAACTCTAGCCCTTAACTCTAACCCTTAACCCTAGCCCTTAACTCTAACCCTTAACCCTAACTCTAGCCCTTAACCCTAACTCTAACATGCAACTTTTGTCACATAAAGGTTCCTGCACTACTTTGATGAGACTTTGATGCTACTTTGATGCTAATTGACTACCATAGAGTGTAAAGTTGCATCAAAGTTGTATCAAAGTCGCACTACAAGAACAGAACTGTCATACTTTTCTATTAGCAAAAACAAAATGTCAAAAAGTGGCAAAAACGTGTTTTCAAAAACACATCACAAAACACACCAGAAAAACACATCAATCGCAATCTGAATAGATGTGCACCTAGCCTGAGGACAGGGACTAATCTGAATGTGCAATATATGTGGAGCTATATAAATACCTGTAATAAAAAAATATTATTATATGTATTTATTTAAAGCAGAACCTAACTTTAAGGCCCCTTTTAGACAGGGTGCCCCATCGAGGATCTACTTGCTCAGCAGGGGTTATCTCTGTGCTGATCCCCGCTGAGCAAGTAGATGACAGGTCTGTGTGTGTCTGCTTCCACTGCTGCAGAGCAGACACAGCCAACTGTTTTCTATGGTGCGTTCAGATGGAAACAGAGCACCTGTCCATTTCCACCTGTCATCTGATCCAATCCACCAGATGGATGGGGAATGGATCTCCATCCGTCTGTTTTTAGTGTACAGAATCAGATCGGAACGGATGCCGGCGGGTTTCAGAAGACACATGTAGGCTGACACCCCCCTTCCATAAAGGGCTATGGACGGTTCGATCAGGTCAGCCTGAAAAACTGACAGGCGGACCCGATTGAACTGTCAGTGTGAAAGGGGCCTATCTGAGCACCACAAACTGAAAATGCTATTTAAGTAATTTTTAATATTCAAACTTATGCATCCATTGATATCTCCATACTTTATTTTGTTGAGAAATCACTTTGAAAAACACCCCCCCCCCCCCAGCATTTCTAGCTATAGCCATCTTGAGTAAGGGCAAATGATCAATGTAGCATTTACTTCCTGGAATTCATTAACCCTTAGCTCATGCATTCAGGCAGGAGGGTGTGCTTAGCTGGAAAAACCCCTCGTCCCCTCCTCCAGGTGAAAGAAAAAATAAAATGCCCACGAAGACTTCTGGGATGTATAAGATCATTTTGGCCTAGGACATAAACCAGGAAGAAAATGAAGAAATGTAAAGAAAATAGTTTAAAACAAGTAAATATGATATACTTTCTTACCTACAGTATTTACAAATGCTAGCAGCATATGGATGAAAAAAAATTGTTAATGTTGATT